TTTCATCAAGCATCAATAAATAATAGGATAGATAACAACATAAAACGAAACAAAGACAAGGTATCTGAGTAGAAACTGCTCATATCATAGAGTCGAATAAACATCCATACAATAGTGATTTAGTACAAATAGAGCCAATTATTAAAGAGGCCCCGTCCAACAAGACTGGCGGTGACCTTGTGAATCGAAACAAGCATAAAAGGTAAGTGCAGTAAAAATTTCTCCTTAAGCTCAACTATCCGGCTAATCATCTTCAGAGAAAGGATCTCCAGTCACAAAGCCCTTCTTCTTCACCAGTGCCAACAAACAACGATATTTGAATTCCCAATCCTCAGAACCTATATTTCCCACCTCGGCTTCCTCTACTGGAACCTTGTCTTTATTTTCTACCTGGGCTTTGATTGTTGTAAACTCTTTCACAACTTGAGTCAAGCGAACATCTTTCTCTCGCAACTTTTTATTTAAAATCTTAACCTCCTCGCAGTGCTTAGCTTCCAATTCCTTTTTATCCAATTGAAAATTTTCTATCTCCTGATGACTAGCTTGTAGCTCTTCAACTTGTCGACTGGCCGTATCAGAACACTCGACCCTAAGCCTCTTCGACCGCTCAAGCAAACCATATTTTTCTAGCAACTGGTTCTTCAGCTTAACCTCATTCATGAGCTTCTTCTTGTCTTGCAAAGCAAACGAAATGTCCACATTCATTTCTTCCTGCCTAGCCTGGAGTTTGAGGTTTTCGGCCTTGACATTCTTAAAACACGTCACAGGCATGAACTCTAATCCTCCTGGGACAGGCTGCACAGAAGACGAATCAAAATGGAATAAAGAACTGTCTGCCCGAGCATCCATTAATGGGTCAAAATCAGGTTGAGGATATAGTAACCTCCCCTTTTTGTAAGGTAACCGCACCACCCTCACACGATCCTGAATCCAGCTCGTATAAGTATCATAAGATATACTTCCATTCTGGCTAAAAGAAAGTTTCCCTTTACGATGAATATGTCCCCATGCTATCTTCACCTTTTCAAGCAACACTGCATCTTCCCCTTTATCGAAATAAACAGTATCCATCACCTCCCGCTCAGCGGGTCTATCTAACATCGTGAATCCTAATTAACAGCGTGCCAGGATATGGTTATAATTAATGCAGCCTCTTGTCCCTATAAGCGGGACATTAGGGAATTCTCCACACCCTATAATGATCTCTTTCAAGCCTATCATGCTTTTCCAAACAATATCATACAAGGTGAGTCTGATGATACGCTGAGACCATAAAGATGAATCGGCAATATGAACAAAAGGCCCTTTTGTAGGCATATGTATCATCAACCATTTATAAAAGCACGATTGTAAAACACATGACTTCCCCTTTCTTCCCGTGTCGGGAGTAGATGGTGTAATAATTGTCAGCAAGTAGAGTTGGTATCGGGATACTATTCATGAAGACACATAATGCGGATACATGCACCAACTTTTCAGACACCGGAAAGAGGACCAAACCATAAATCATAGCTGCCAGTAGTGTATTAAATGCGGTCCAATTCATATCCTTTACAAAACCCTTGGCCTTTGATATCAAATAATTCAGAGGGAGACCGCTCGTGCCGCTTTTGTTAATCCAGTTACTTTTAACTTCACCATGATTCAAATAAAGAGCTCTGGCGATCGCCATATAGTCCAGAGTCTCTGGTACTTGAACAAAAGGAATAACGTTGGTCACCTTGACATCCATAATGTGTGCATATTCTTCAAGAGTTGGTGCCAATTGATAGTCTCGAAAAGTAAAACAACGCAACTACGGATCATAGAACTGAAGAAGTGTTCTCATGGCCCACTCCTCAAGATCATCGTTCACCAACGGCAGTAAGTTTACATATTGTCTTCTGAAAAAAATTTCATTTGGTCCTTTCACAAGAGCTCCCACCTCTCGCAATTGACCGCCAAAGCATGGAAACTGATAAGCAGCAGTGTTTCTAAGAGGCTCTGAGCTTGTCTCCATGTTATTATCCATCTTTGATGCTAATGACAGACCTTAGGATAATCCTGGAAATGAAATGCAAATGCAGGTTAGGAAGTTATATTTTTTGTGTGTTTCTTTTATAAAATAAATATGCCCTGATGCAAGTACAATAAACATAAGATCAAAGTTTCCACAATGCTGATTAACCGCTGTGCCTTTTCTGATTATGTTGGGTGTATTAGGATCAAAAATTTAGAATTGTGAACCCGAATAAACCTCTTGGTCGATGGATCAGAAACTCAGAAAATAAATCTGAGAACCAATAGAACAACATTGTCGCTTGTAGAACATAGTCACTATCTGAACATGGTTACCAACTGTACCTGTGATAATCAAGTCCCTCCCACTCACGAGTGAAAACTACATCATGGTAAGGTCAGGTAACCCAGAATCGAGGGGACTCCTGAAAAACTATCGCCATATCACCTACGTAAAAACGATAGTCCCTCATTTGTACCTCATCTAAGCGTGGACGACATGACAGTATAGTGAAACCTAAGTCAACTAGTCGTTCATGTTCCACTCTATTCCTAGTGTTCTTGTGGTTATCACTTGGCCTGGATATTGGGCCTTTTACTTCTTGTAACGCCCACCCAATCATGGAAAAAGATCCAGCACAGCAGTATCACCAATATATGGAAAGAGATAAAATGTAATGCAAACATATGCTCAGATAATCATATACAAAATGAATAAACTGAAAGCAAAAAAATAAACACTCAAAGAAGTAAACAAGCAAGAGCTAGGATTGACTCTGGGATGGACCAACAATAGGTCTATAACTATCCCCAGTGAAGTCGCCATTTTTCTGTAGCGGTTAAATCAATGAAGTCTCCACCGAGTATTTATTTATCCCATATAAAAGGGGAAGGAAAATCATCGAAGAAAAACCTAAAGGGGGGAATCAAGGTCTTACGACCGAGAGATTGGGTAAGGGAGTCGATTATGCAAGGGGAAGGTATTAGCACCCCACACGTCCATAGTACTCTACGGAATCCACTCTAGTTATTCTAATCAAAGGGTGTGTTCAATCTAATGCTTAAGAGTTATAAACTAAGAGGGAATGCATGCAAAGAAAACAAGGGGAAAAGAAGGAAGTATTTACAAATTTTCGCTCGACTGAGCCCCGCGACCAGATGCCTACGTATCCCTTTTAAGGAATCAGAGCACCGTAGTTCGGCTTATATATTTTGTTTGTTTGTATTTTTTAAATGAACAATGTTATATTCGATCATTCCACCGCCGCTCGACCTCTGGAGACTTACGACCTGTAGTGAAAAGGAGCTAACACGCTCTTAGAAGAGAAAAGCCGAATGGTGAAAAGAAATGGATTGGTTGGTATTTTTTTACCATGAAAAGAATTTTGTATGCTTAGCATTTTTTTATACATTTGCCAAGAAAAAAAAGAAGTTTTAGTTTTAAATACAATTATGCAAAATGGGAAGAAAACATCTAAGGGAGACTAACCTATCTCTAACCTAATGTTTTCATACAATGAGGGATCCTATCTAAGTTAGCATGCCAAAGAAAGTCTAACATACTATCCTATATGGAACATGCACTGAGAGCGAAGTCATGATCTCAATTTCTAAATTGAGTGACTCATCGATCAACAAGAAATAAAGGAAAGCGATAAAATCCTATAGGGAGCATGCACTGAGAGCGAAGTCGTGATCTCAATTTCTAAATTGAGTGACTCATCGATCAACAAGAAAGGAAACAAACACAAGCACAACACATATAATAAGTGAAGTACGGAATGCCTGCTACAGGTCTTTAAACAACGACTTTGAGCGCACGCTCTTTATTTCCTACTTCTCATGATATCTAGAAAGCGATAAATGCGCAGAAAAATAAATTGGAAGCAGCATAATACCAAACGAACAATAATGTCCACAAAAAGCGCAACCAAAGCAAAGAAACTCGAAATACTTCACGCGAGCTGGCATCAATAAACAAACAGTCAGAGATTAAATATTCGGAATAGACATCGAAGCTTCATAGATGTAAAAATAAATCACAATCAGAATCCAAAATACATCCGCATATCAAATAATGAACCTGCATAAGACTCAGCTCAACAAACAAAGGTGAATCACAAGTTTCAAGTACAAAAATTAGGAATTAATTTCCTAAAAAATCAAATGAAAAGCCTAAAAACTTCATTAATTTTTGTAGTTTAATATCTATAAAAATAGTTTTAAAAAGAATTCTTAAATTCTATATATTTTTTATTGTTTTATTACATGTATTTTATTTATTATTTTTGTTATATAAAAAAAGGAATTTAAACTGAACTAAAAAAACAATATTTTAAAAGAACAATAAATTAGAAAGAGCCAGGGGGTGCTAAACTGAGTCAGGGATGGCATGCTAGACTGATAGTCAAACGCTAGGCCCAACAGGTTTAGGTCCAGAATATGCTTTTTTTTAATTCAACTTCAGGCTCCAAGAAATTCCATTGAGCTTAAGAGTTTGGTCCAAGATGGTTTTGTACAAGTCTCCAGCGTAGAAAATGTAACAACCCTCAAGCCCACTCAACCTTTAATCTTCTTTAGCATTATCCAGAATTTCCAATTGAATTGAACTAAAAAAAACAAATAAAAGGAAATTAACAATACGCAGCGTTTTGGCTATGCTAGGTTAACATGTGCCTTGTGACCTCACAACATTCTCGCGAACAGTCATATTCCTTCCCTCTTCATTCTCGATGAGATTTCCGGCGAGGAAGACCGCCGCGAGCGCCACTGTCAAACGACCGCACAACTTAAACCGCCTATACCACTCTCCTTATCTTAAGGCCCTCGATATGAATCCATCGGTTTTTTATTTATTTTTCATAACCTCTATGACTTGCTGAAACCCTAGATTTGGAAGATTAGATTAAGCGCCACGGTGAAATCTTCAGATAACGCAGGCTTGGGGAACTTAATCTATACATCGTCTTCTACAAATTCGAAGCAATAAAAGATTGGAAAAGATGAAGGAAGAAGGTATATCGCATTTACCTCCGGAACTGAGGGATATTCCAGTAACAGTTGCAGCGAGTTCCAGCAAAGCGGATGGCATGGAAATCCGGAAACTCTCGACAAAGCTCTTATCTAGGTACGAACTTAATATTTTCCCCTATTTCTTGTGCTAATCCTTCTTCTACTAATCTTCTGCTCTTATTGTGCTTCTGTATGATGCTTTTATTTGTTATGCTTGTGCGGTTGTTAGGGATGAAGACGATGCAGAGTGAGAGAGCGGCTGGAATATGAAGCTGATCAAAGAATTACTGGAGCAACGATGTGCTTGATGGAGACTGTAAATTCATTGATGACGATAGGAAACAAAGATATGCAATTGAAGGTGATTGAAGGTTGAAGATGTTGTGTGTTGTGAAGTTATGCGCAGAGAGAAACAAAACAATGATGATGATTGAAGATTCCAGATGAAAAAAAAAGGAATGGAAAGTTGAAGATGACAAAGATAATAGAAAAAGGTGAGTCATGAAATTTCTCTTATCTCCTCTGAATTCTCTTATGGTTTTTCAATCTATTAGCAAAATCTCTTTCTTTTTTGTCACTAAATCTGTTAGCCTTCTGTTCTCTCTCCTCTTTTTGTTACGTATGTCCCCTTCCAGTTCTGTTACCAAATCTGTTAGCATTTTCTTTTATTCCGTTACCACTCTTCTATAGTTTTTTTAGAGTTGGCTAGAGATTGGATTCAATCTCAGCCCTTGATCGAAATATTAGTACCAGAAAAAACCGATGGTATGATTCCCCTAATGCTCTTTTGATTTCGCACTCAACTCGTGAACCGCTATTTCCTGAATTCTAATTCCACAATCAAAAACTTTCATCTTTGTTTTTTTATTTTTCTTCCAACCCTTATTTTGTTGAGCCCTTGTTTGTTAACATACAGGTTCGATCTACGAATAGGTTTCGGATTGAAGTATAAAGGCAATCATGCTGGTTCCAGAACGGGTGTGCCTAAGTGCTTGTAGATATCACATTTGGATGGTAACTTTACTTATATCATGATTTTTATGAGTTAATGATTCTCCCTGATTCTTTTGAGTGCAAACAGTCCATTTCATGTTAGAGTGTGAAGCAATTCTGAACAGTTTCAGCTTTAGTTCAAAAAAAGTAAGTAACACAAGCTTAGCGCAACTTTGGATTTGACAAACAGTTTACGTTTGTTTTGAGTATTCCATTTGAACTAATTGGTGTACTGCCCTTTTTTATTTCAGGTGACATCCCCCTTGGGACACTTTTGAATGGCTTTGCAAGATTGGTCAAGGGTTTGTGGAAAGCATTGAACTACTTGGACATGGACTGATTTCTTTTTACAATTGGATTAAGGCAAATGGCATAAACCTTGACAAATGAATTTTTTGCTTCATTCCAATATGAACACTTGTATAGACTTCAAATTGAATGAAATGGGTGCTTTAAATAACACGAATAATTGGAATTTTTGAGGTTGAATTTGGAGCGGTATAATTCTTGAATTCTGAATTTTCACTCTTGAATCAATTATGTCATATGCCTCAAAATTATCCACATGAGTGAGTTTTGAACTTGAACAATGGGCGCTTGCACCAAAATTAACTTGAAACCTTGATTGATGATGAATATTCTTGAAACCTCAAATTTCAAATGAATCAAGGTGGTATGCCTTTATAACTTGTGTTTCAAGAAACCAATCATGGATTGACTTTCCATTTTTTTATACTTGACCACCTTTGACCCTTTTGACAAATTTAGATCATTTGAGGACTTGAAATGAATTCATTTGCACTTGTAATCAATTAAACCACATGACACTTTCCATATTAAGAAATTGGATGAACACTTTCCAAACCAACAACTTGCACTATTAGTGAAAGAACTTGAGGACATAAATTCCTTCAAGAGAAATATGACCAAGATAATCTCAATATGAACATTCTATTTCAATGAACCTTAATCTTCAATTAGATCGAAATTCAGTAATCAATCCTATTTGAGAGGTTGATGAAATCTTAATTCACGGCTTAAACAACAAGAAACATCTCGACTTGGCGAAATCCCCAATCATTCTTTAACCACCTGACAAGTACCATCACAAAGAAGGAAATCATTGATTAAATCCTCTAAATTCCTTGAGAAAGAAAGTCCTGTGGAACTAGCAGTTAGGAGAAAACTTAAATGTCGATGAGCCTTCAATAGAGAGAATGATGATCCTTGTGGCCTTGAGGATGAAGCCTAGCATGACAAACTTTTGCTGAAGATCTAATACCGGGCTTAAGCATAACATAGGAGAAACCCTAATTCTTTGGCTTAGTTACACCTTAATGCCTTTGTTCCTTGAAGAAACTCTGATGGAGAAAACCTTATATCTCGAGGAACCCTGCTAGCAAAGGCGTTCGTGTTACTTGAGATTTAAAACCCTAATCTCATACCAAGAATAATGAGAGTAACAACTGGATCAACATGAAGAACATAACCTTAGTCCATAGAGAAAAAACGTAATGCCAAACTCTTCGATCCTATAACCATGGGACCAATGCTATGTGTGAGATGTATAGAGTTGATGAGGGATATTAGGGGCAAAAATTGGGGTATAACAGCGATCTAGGCAAAAATTAGGTGCATATAACAAAAAATTATCCCGCTGGATTGAAAACCCGAAAGGGCAATCCAGGAAAAAATTAGGAATCATTCAAAAAGAAATAAAGAACAAAAAGACTGCGATATAAAACTGCGACTATGAACCAAGAAGGGAGAGATAGATCTAAATCATACAACTCATAAACAAAGGAGATAAGATCTAGTAAAAGGATATTGGGGAACAACAACAACAATTATCATTTTTCATTGCCATTTATAGTTTTAAATTTTTTTGTAATTACCTCTTTCTAGGAATTTGATCTTGTATTCTCGCCTATTCAGAGGCCTATCAATAAAACATTTGTTTTCTTTGCACCTTTCAAATTGCTTTTTTTCTTTTCTCAGACTTGTTTACAAAATACTACGATCATTACTTGTGAATATTGTCTTGAAATCATTTCGGGGAATTAACAAAATAAAAGCATTTGACAAAACATCGAAAAAACATTTTTGTTAGAAAAATATTGAAAGAAAATCCACGTCTACGTCCACGCACATGGCAACTCCTACATCTTGCAACACAAAAGTATACACACATGTCTACGCCTATGTCTATGCTCATGACACAAAAAGTCTATGTCCACACATACATCTGCTTCTATTCCTGCACTCACAATACAAAATCTACACACATGTCCACGTCTACGCCTGCGCTTACAACATAAAAAGCTACACATATGCCAATACATACGTCTACACCTGCTCTTACAACATACAAATCTATGCATATTCCATTACCTACATCTGCGTCTACGTCTACACCTGCACTTACAACATACAAATCTACGCATATGCCATTTCCTACATCTACGTCTACATCTACACCTGTGCTCACAATACAAAATCAATGTTCAAAATTTTGCTAATGCTTTTTCACTTCATGCAAATCAAATTTAACAAAGCTACGACGACACAACATACAATGTCGGGGAATTGGTAACTCTAAGCCAATGGTTTAAAGGAGAGAATGCCAGAAATAGTCTTCATAACATTTCAAGGCATACGCGCATCTTAAACACATTTCATACATACATTTTGCATATCCAAAGTATACATACATTATACATTTTTGCATACAATACTCAGGGTTCCATATCAATGTTAAACATCATACATTTTTCATACATCCAAACATCTCAATATCAGACATTATGCGCATGTATCATGCAGCAAACAAACAGCCTCACCCTAGATTTAGCTTTCTAAGGGTCAACCAACAAAATACTTCTCCTACGATTCAACCCGTCACCTCAGTCTTCATTCCATGACACGTTCAGCCCATCTCCTAAGTCTTCCTGCAATGATGAGTTCCTTACAAACCCAGGTCATTGCCTCAGACTTTATGCAGCAATGCTCAAAAGCAAAATTTAGCTTACCGCCTCAGACTTCACGTAGCGATTTGCGGACTTAACCCATTGTCTCAGACTTCATGCAGCAATGTGTTTCTTTCTTCCGCGGTACAGATTATCGCCTCAAACTTCATGCAACGATGCTCGAAAACCAAATTTATCTTATCGCCTCAGACTTCATGCAGCGATATGCGAACCTAACCCATTGCCTCAGTCTTCATGCAACAATGTGTTTCTTTATTCCACAACACATATCATCGCCTCAGACTTCATGCAGCGATGCTCGAAAATAAAACCCAGCCTATCGCCTCAGACTTCATGCAGCGATTTGCGAACCAAACCCATTGCCTCAGACTTCATGCATCAATGTGTTTCTTTATTCCAAGATCCAGATCATCGTCTCAGAATTCATGCAGCGACACTCAAGAATACAAATTTAGCCAATCGCCTCAGACTTAACGCAACGATTTACAAACCTAACCCATTGCCTCAGACTTCATGCAACAATGTGTTTCTTTATTCCAACACAGACCATCGCCTCAGACTTCAGGCAGCGGTGCTCGAAACCAAAATCTATCCTATCGCCTCAGACTTCAAGCAACGATTTGCGAACCAAACCCATTGCCTCAGACTTCATGCAGCAATGTGTTTCCTTATTCCGCGAAACAGATCATTGCTTCAGACTTCATGCAGCGATGCTCAAAAATAGTGAAGATGTGAAAAACTTAAGAAGGGGGGTTGAATTGTAAAACTTAAAACAAAGGCTTAGACAACACAGTATTTTTATCCTGGTTCGTTTGATCTCAAACTACTCCAGTCCACCCGTCAAGGTGATTTCGCCTCTCTTCAACGAGGTCTTAATCCACTATTTTTAAAGGATTACAACAGCTACTTTAACAACTGTTAAAGCCTTCTTAAGTATAACCACAAACCGGTTTATCTCAAGGAAATCTTTTACAAATAATTTGAACAATGATGTGTTAATGTTTTCTAACAAAACAATATATCACAACTGTGATAATTACACAATTTAAGCTTAGAATAAACTGAATTTGCTAAAGCGTTTGAGTAAGCGTGATTTTGAAGGCTTGGCAAATTATGTGAGTGCTTGCGTACGTCTTTTCTCAAGCAGGCTGGTTTATATAGGCAAGGCAGAGATACATTGTCCATAAAGCCATTTTAATGATAATAATGCACTTTCCTTTTGGAGAAGATCTTGTCTGAAGAAAGCTGTTAGCATTTAATTCTGTCTTGAATACTTAGTAACGCTTCAGAGTCTTCTTACGCTTCAGAGTCTTCTTTGCTTTAACTTATGATAACACTTCAGATTGTTGATGACTTGGTAAAGATCTTTGATCAGAGTCAGAGTGTATGCACAGATTCTGGTCATCAAGCTTCAGCGTATAATCTTGTAGCTTCAGCGTGTAGCATATATTACTGATCTTCTGATGCTTCTGATGCTGATGCTGATTCCATCAGAACTTTTATATACACAGAACATAATTTTAAGAGGCATATTTGTCTTATATATAAATCTTACAATTTATTTATTCTTTGTATTTTGTTATCATCAAAACTCTAATCAAGGGTTGTAGAATCAAACTATGTTCTAACAATCTCCCCCTTTTTGATGATGACAAAAGCCAGATTTTTCAATTAAAAATGAAGAATAAAAAGTATAGAATTAAGAAGAGAAAACTCCCCCTGAGTTGATTACTTCCCTTTAATTCCATGAGTCTTTGAGCATCAGAACCTTACTGTATCTTCCATCAGATTTTTGTACCTGTAAGCTATTCAGAAGAGAGAATTTTAAATAGATCAGAATGTTTGACACTTATGTCTCAGTAATCCGTTATTGAAAAATATCATTCTTTCTCCCCCTTTTTGTCAATTATCAAAAAGAACAAATAATCAGAGTCAAAATGCATTTATATTAAAAACAGAAGCAATGATAAGTTCAGAACAATGCAAGAATATTACAGATAAACATGATTTAAAAAGTGAGGAAATTCTAAGAGGGAGGAGGAAGACGCGTGAACAAGGCTTCCAACATGCTCTTGATATGGATGTTGGTTTCCTGTTGCTGGGTTAACATGCTCACGATTGCATCAATTTTGTCGTCCTATTTATCCATTCTTTCCTTCATCAACAGATCAGATCTTTTCAGGTCTTCTAGAGTATGCCTATCAACGGAGGAAGCTTGAGAATCTTCATTAACAGGATGCTTCTCAGAGCTTTCTACAATATCCTCTTTCTGACCCAGTTCTTCAGCAGGAATCAACTGCTCTGGAATATCAGTCAGATTGAGATCTTCTGACTCTGGTTGAACTTTGGATGA